TCAGTTGTTATTTCAAGTATTTTGTCACAATAATGAGAAAGTTAATACACCAACTTATGAAGAAATAATGCAGAGCTAAGACTGCTTGTCATTGGAAGGTGACATGAACACTGCATGTTCTCTGAAGGTTCCAGAAAGAGCACAAGCAGTGTCTGGCACACAGTTGGCATTCCCAAGACACTGAAGGAACGAGAAATGAGTGAACCAGTGGGATGAATGGTGGTTGTTACAAGACTCTTGGTTTCAATCCAGCCCCACTCCCAGGCTTCTCCCTTCGCTAAGCAGCAGTAGGGAGACTGTTGTCAGTAGGGAAAAGATCACTGGTGATGCTGGGCACACCCAAGGGCACGATAGCTTATAAAGGACCAGGCAGATCTAGCAACCAATCCCAATTGTCCTCACAGCCCAAACTGTGACCTCATGTCAATGCCATCCCTACAGGACTTACCTCTGTTCATCTGCACCCACATGATCCTCCCACAGAGACACATGTGACCTGTGCTTTCTCAGCTGTCATCAAAACCTTCCAGTTTCCTTGGGTCAAATGTTAAGTCCTTGAGATTGTCTATGAGATCCTCTGTAGAGAACATATGCATGAGAGAGTTTAATCCCCATAAAAAATAGCCTTAGAGTGAGTGGGTACAAGTAAATACCACTAGATACATAAAAGCTGGGGCTTATGACTAGTGATAGTCTTGTACTGTGGTTTTGGGTAGGACAAACATTTCTAGAAAAATCTCCCCATGAGGATCATCATTTTTTTTTTGCAGTATATGACCTTTCATCACACATACGTGCACATGCACACACACACACACGCATATGCACACACACTCAGCCTAAATATGCTTATTTTCTTTCATTTTATTCTTTATTTTAATGAATATTTGTTCCATTTTATTGATGGGTTATAATTGGGAGCACTAGGACTCATGGAAAAGAGCTATCTATCTTATATTTCTGAAGTTAATGGTAAGATAAGGTCTGAAGGAAGAATGTAAGGAAATAGAACCTGGTGGTTTTACAGTTTTTGAAACTATTTAAGAATTCAGATGACTGAAAATTTACACACATAAAATTAACCTTTTTTTGTATGTAGTTCTATATGTTTTAATACATATAGATGTGTATAACCACCACCACAAACAGGATACACAACACTTCTAGCACCTGAAAAAACTTCCTGTCTCCCATTTATAATTAATCCTCCTCTATCCTACTCCTGGTAGCCATTGTTTTTCTCTCTAACTCTACAATATTTTCTTTTCCAGTATCTCATGTAAATGAAAGTATACATTATGCAGCCTTTCGAGACATATCTGTGTTTTGAGTTTTATCTGTAGCTTACACTTGTTAATAATTCTTCCTTTTTATTGCTAATTGATATACCATAGGGGGCTGCATCACAATTTGTTTATTTATTTACCCATTAAGGGACATATGGATTGTTTCCAGTTTGGGGCAATTATGAATAAAACTGCTGCAAGCATTCATGCACAGGATATATATCTTACAACCATATAAATCCCTTTATGCTTTATCCTTTATGTTGAAGTTATTATATTATTATATCTAAATGTATCAAACCCTCATCAGATATGTTATGATTTTTCTTTCAACCATCATACAAAAATATGAATGCTACACAGATTTTCATGTCATCCTTTCATAGGACCATGCTAGTCTCTTCTGTGTGGTTTCAGTTTTAGCTTTTGAACTGCCAAAGTAAGCACTGAGCATGTTTTTGCAGTGCTTTTCTAGTAAAGACTTACCTAAAATTTTCACAGAACCAGAGATGGTGATTCATGCTTGTAATCCCAGGTACTTAAGAGGCAGAAATCAAGAGGATTGTAGTTCAAGACCAGCATGGGCAAAAAGTTAGCAAGACCCCAACCTCAACACATAAGCCAAGTGTGATGCACACACTTCTCGTCCCTCTATGCGGGAGGCATAGGTAGTAGATCTGCAGTCTGACGCTAACACTGGGAAAAAACCTAGACCCTATCTGAAAAATGTCGTAAAGCAAAAAAGGGCTGGAGGTGGGGTTCAAGTGGTAGAGCATTTGCCTAGTAAGTACAAGACCCTGAGTTCAAACCCCAGTACCACCAAATAATTAAAAATAAAATAAAACTTGTACTGAGTTTGTGAAACTATGAGCTAAAATTAGTGTAGTGTTTCCCTCTGGACAAAGCTAGAATTTACTCTAATCAATTATGCTTTGACAATAAAGGGCACAAAATGAAGCTTTTTAATCTTGAACTAAAAAATAGCATGGGATTAAAACTAGAAATATGTGCAGAGATAGTTGATTGCCAAAACAGACTTATGGCAATGAGAAGTTTTATAATATCAAAAGTATCAGTTATCTGCAGGGAGGTCCAAAAGAGATGATTTCTAGAAACTGTGGCTATAACGGAACTTCCTATTTTCCAAAAAGCAGTAGCTATTTGGAGAAGATTAAGTGAATGTTAACTCTACCAGGTTTGAGATTAAGGAAAGGGAGACCATCCCATGCATTGCTTAGATCATAGCCAAGAAAATAATCTCAAATTGTTATAAAGCACTTTTCATTAATAACCCCACATGGGCATTTTATGCCTATGATTGTATTTGCTTCTGCTCTGCTGCTATTAAAAATGAGCTTGTGCATCCTGCAGTGGAAGTTCCCACCTCCCTCTCTAACCTTGGTCCTTCCCTAGAGTATGTGGTCATTGGCTCGGAATGCACAGCTGTGAAGGTGACTGTTTGTCTAAAGGCTTTGGTGATGTAAGCCTGAAACCAAGGAGGAGAGCAATTAAACTTCACCTTGATTAAGCTATAGTGTGCCCAGAGGGTTGCAGGTTGGGCTGGGTGATACTTTCTCAGAGTGGAGGAGACATTTGTACTTGGAGACTGTGAGGACATACCCTGCCCTAAACGGTGATCAGGATACCTTGTTCTCTTCTCTGCCTATTAGATACCTGACCATTCAGGGAGTTTCATCCATAGTGCCTTTTATCAGTGAAGCCTTTCCCTCTTCCCATCCCAGTTGAGGTAAATAGTCTCTCTAAATATGAGCCTATGTAGCCCTCTGTTAGCCAGCTATCTGTCATTGTAACAAAACACCTAAGATAAATCAACTTAAAAAGGGAAAAGGTTTATTTTTGACTCAGTTTTGGAGATTCTAGCCCATGACTGCTGGCCCCATTGCTTTGGGCCTGTGATGGGACAGTACATCATAGATGGCAGTTTATGGTAGGAGTTCATTTGCCTTGTGGCTGCCAAAAGAGAGAGTTAGGGGAAAAGTCCATACCCTTTCTGAGGGCTGAGGTATAACCTCTAGTGCATGGAATGCATTAGATCCAAACCTAGCATCCTCCAACTGCAGACTTAGTGTTCATGTGATGGTTAACCCAAAATGGATTTTAATCTCCATTAAGATCAGGGCTATGTCTTTGTTTCCCTACAGTGACTTATACCATGTACACGAGAGAGACAGCTGACGGCAGAGTTGAAAGCATAGTCTCAGCTTTTCTGTGTTCAAATCCTTTCCTAGCTGGATGACTAGGGGCAAGTCACTTAAATGCTCCATGCCTCAGTTTCTCCACTTATAAAACTGGGCTTATTAACACTATTTGCAAAGATTAAATAAGCTAAGACATTTAAAGTGTTTAGCATATCTCTCTGGCACATAGTTCTATTACGTATTTTTCTTGTTAAGCAATTAATTAGTTTCTCATAAAGCTATGAAACAAAAAATGTATTTATAAGTAAGGCAAGACAGGACACAAATGGTATTAACTAAAGAGAAGGCCCAGAAAACAAAGAGAAGTTAACCAAATTGTGAAGATAAACAGTTTTCACTATTTTTTAAAGAAACAAGAGGAGGGGATGTATATTGACCTTAGGAAACCATCCAGCAGTGTTTATCAAGAATGTTCTTGCATTCTGTGGTTCAGCAAACCTACTTCTAACTTTATTTCCAAAAGTGTTTCATGGATTAATCAAAGGATGTCTGGTAGAATTTTCATAGCACAAGTGTCCATAGTAGTCACTAGGTGCAAACTATGCAAATAGTCATCATCAGTGGAACAGGTCAATAAGTTGCAGCAGTGAAAATGGGTGATGTGTAATTACACATGGCACAATGGTGGACCTCACCAAAGTAGTGATGAGCAAAAGAAGTCTGTGCCAGCATGCCAGGCAAAGCACCTTGACTGTTTCAGATCAGGATAGTGGTTACCTTGGTAGGGGAGAAGGGTAAGGAGTGGGGGTAGGGGAGAGTGGAGACCAGAGAGCATGAGGAACTTCTGGGGTATAGCTAACATTTTATTTCTTTGCCTGGTGCTGGTTATAGATTGTGAAAATCACTGAACTTCACCTATGAGATATGCATTTTTTCTGTATGTGTGTCATATTCGCTAAAAAAGAGAAGAGAAAAGAAATAATAATAGAAAAGAAAGGATTTTTAAAAGAGAAAATTCAAAAGATAAAAAGGATCCTTGGTTCTGTTGCACTTGACCTAGCTGGCTCACCCCTCTTCTTTGCACGCTGCTCCCCTTCCTCCCCCACCCCCATTTGCTCCGCTTGAAAATAGCAAATGCCTGTGCCAGGGGTCTTTTCCTTCCTTCCTTAGCCTCCCACTGCTCTCCTGGTCCTGGGCGTCCTTTACAAGACAGGATGCGCTTTTCCAAGTGGATAAAGCTGGTAGTAGAGTAACTTGGAGGAGTTAAGGTTCATTAAAGAAAAACTTGGAATTCCTCTCCTCCTCTCCCTTCCTCTCCCCTCTTCTCTCCTCTCCTCTCCCAGTCTTCTTCTCCCCCTTCCCTCATTATCCCTTCAGGACATCCTCCGGGCCTTGGTGGCTTTACCTGGACCGGCTCTGTCCGAGGGGTCGTGGGGCGGCGGCCAGAGCTCCCGGGGTTCCCCCCCCACCCAACACACCACCCAGTCCCCGCCCGTCCTGACCCCGCCCCGCGGCCACAGGCTATTTTGGGCTTTGGCGGCGGTAGCGGGATCGCTGACAGTCGCGGATCCTGTGACACCTCCCAGCAGCCAGCCAGGCACTTGTTGCTCCCAGGACCTGTTGTCATCCCTTCACCGGCTTTCCCTCTAGTCCCCTGCGCCCTGTTGGCGGCTCCCCTTTGCATGGGATCACCTGGGACACGATCTCTCAGACACGGAGAAATAAGTGGGTTTTTAAAACCGTGCTGAAGAGAGGCCCCGCGAGCGGGCGCGCGGAGCGCTGGCCCAGGCGCTGCAGAGGTGGCGCCTCTCCGTCCCGGGACGGTGGCCCCGGGCGCCGACGGCATGACGGACTCGGCCACAGCTAACGGGGACGACAGGGACCCCGAGATCGAGCTCTTCGTGAAGGTAGGTGGGCGCCCGGGCACCTGCAGCACCTGCCGCGCCTCCAGTCGGGCTCGGGGTGGCGGGAGCTCAAGTGCCAAGGCGCGGGTGGCGCTGTGACGCTGGACCCTCCCTCCGAGCGCAGCCCGGGGCCCTTGAGGTCTCCTGGGTGGCGTTTCTGCAGGTCAGTTACTCGCTTTGGAGCTCCTGGGCGGACTAGAGTGAGGTTCGATCTGGCAGGTGCGGTCTTCTTGGAGAGTTGCCCCGCAGTTCGTCCAACCTGCCGCAGGACCTGTGGTCACCACTGCGGGTCCCCAGCCCTGTGAGGCGCTGTTTTGAGTGGTCCTGAAGGATGTCTGTAGGTGCAGGGACAAGTCAGGAACCTGGCTGGACCCGCGAACCTGTCTTCTGCAATGGTGTAAGGATGAGGGAAGAGCCGGAGAAAGAAAGGTTATTGATGTAATCATCTTTGGCAAAGCAAAAATCACATTCTTAAAATCACTTCCCTCTTTTACAAATAAAAGCGAAGCAAGCAAAGGTGTTGTCTTGCCGTGTGACCTGTGTAGTAGAAAGTGAACACCCCGTCCCTGCCGCTATTATTACCATCGGTCATTATCGTGGCTCTGCGCTAGCCGCGGGAAACGCTCAGTGACAGGCCGGGATGAAGGAGCCAAGCGCAACGGCAAATTAAGTCACCTGGCTCCTTGAACAGCCGTGGCCTGGTGTCAGAGCTGCAGTCATTCGTTTGCAACCTGTAGGAGGAAGGATGGAGGCCGAGGCAGTTTCCCGGTCTGCGGGTGTAAAGAGAAAGGAACATTTGATCAGTGCCTGCACTGCAGAAGCCGGAAACCCGAGGCGGCAGGAGAGCAGCCTTCCCGGGCGGGGCAGAAAAAGTCGCCAGAGCTTGGGGGGAGGGGAGTCACCAGGCTGCCTGAGAGCAAAGACCTTTCATGAAGGGGATAAATCTTTGACTATAGTTTCCCTGGAATTATTCAGATTACTAAAAGAGAGAAACATCTTTGGTTCCTTGGGGAGGGTTGGGAGGAATCTTGGCTGAATTTAAAAGGCCTATATGTATCCTGGAACCAGAAAGATGTTATTTTGCCCAAATCATCCATATTTTCGAGCCAGTTTAAATAGACTCTGGCAGAAAGTTTAAGGTCTATATAAGCTTCCATAACAATCTTTTGGGTTTTGGTACCTTTGTATTCCTAAAAATATTAAAAATCAGTCATGACTTCTTTTTATACTGCCAAAGAGATGTGTGTCAATTGTTCCAGGCTGCCAAAATGTTGGAAAAATTTTGCATTTAAAAATATTTTTTTACAATTATGCAAGTCATTGAGTGACACTTGCTTTCCTCAGTCTGTTCTCATCCCACGTGCCCGACTTTGGTGTCTAGATCTCCTCTGGACAGGATTTACAGGTCCTCTTAGCAGACCCAGGTAAAAAAAAGAGGTCACGTCTCTTTCTAAGCAGGGCAGTGTTGGGGTGCCCCAACCCCAGAGTTCAGACTTGCAGCCCAGAGGGAATAGGCAGAGCTTCACAAAGCACAGAGTCTGGCTGCTCTCCTTAAGAAAGTAAGTCCTTATTCTAGGACTTAGAGACATTTGAAACACAAATTGGTTCTATAGAGCCAGGAGGAGCCCTTTGCCCCACTGCTAGGCGTGGAAAGAGATTCTTACTACACCTTTGGAATTTCATGTTGGCAGCCTTAGCAATTTTATCCATTTATATAAAAAGCTCACTGCCCAGCTCTGGGTGCTCCCAAAGAATTCTAAAATGCCTGTGCTGTCACTTTTTTCTTTTCCTAAAGGGAAGCAAACTCTGAGAGCTAAGCAGGCCTTCATGGCCAGCTCAAAGACCAGATTGATGGGGATATCAAAAAATTCAGATATGAAAGCTGTTTGATCCCTCCTCCTCCCCATTTTTTGAACTTCTGGTTAGTGTGACCATTTACAGGGACAAGTGAAGGCTGGAAATATTGTGGGGACGCTCTTCAGTCCTCGTCATTTTAGACAGGCAATGTCCTGACTTCTCCAGAGTGGGAAGTTTCTCTGAGCTGTATGATTCCCATAAAGAGAAAGCTGATGGGGTCAGAGAACAGAGGTGCAGACATGAGGGAAGGGCTGGTTGGTTTCTATAGTCTCCCAGGCAGTACAGGCTTCACCCAGAATCATGACATTGGTCATTTTCAACACCCCCATCAGAGGACCCCCAACTCAGCCTGCCCACTGAGTCTACTATTCTAAACCACAGCCACCCAGTGAGAGTCAACGCCATGTGACCCTATCCTACAGCAATCAGTAGTTATTATCAGTTACTACTGCTGATAAGAAAAATAGTAGCAGTAACAAGTGGCAGCATTTTAGGACTTGTAAGGCATGTTCATATATCTTATCTCATTTGGTCACCAGTATCCTTGTATATAAGATTGACTCACTCAAGTGAAAAATGAAGAAAACAAACAAACAAACCTGACTCATAGGAACCTTGTCAAAGCATTTGGTGAACTGCAGTTTGCTGCTGTCCTCATGACATCCTAGGGAAACAAGAATGATGACCATTTTATGGTCAAACAACACATGTGCTCAGAGAGGGTGTACGAATTGCAAATCAGCAAAGAATATTCAGACTCAGTCCTCAATTCCAGCACTTCAGACTCTTAAATTTCCTCTGCTTTTCCAAACATTCACATGCCAGTCTTGCACCTTATTTTGACAAGTTAGGCTTTCAAGTGTCATCCATGATGAAAATTTGTGCTATTTATAAATCTGCACTCATGTATTCATAAAAGTCTGTCAAAGATATTGTTATGCACTCCAGGTCTTTCCTTTCCAGGAAACATCCTAAGACGGACATTTAAGGAATTGTTTCCTCACATTCTTCATTTATTTGTCTCTACTAAGAAAGGTCAGATCAGATGAGCTCTGATTCTAGTGTGCTACAGAACATTCGTACACTATCTGTGCATGGGGCAGAGATTTGGACACATGGAACCTGCATCCAAGTCTTATCTGTGCTTCTAATTAGCTAAGTGACTCTGAATGAATTAATTTAACTTCTGTGAGCTTCGATGCCCCTCTCTTAAAACAAGAGGGGCATATAATTCATTGTCCAAACCAAGACACTTTTTGAAAGTAAAAGGAGATATTACCAATACTTAGTCTAGGAATATAGGTGTGACCCAGGATTGTTTGGGATGTGTGGTACACTGATTAGGAAAATCTTGTAACCACTGACTTGCTGTGAGGATTCCATGGAAACATAGAGGTGGAAGGGCTTTGGAACTTGAAAATTGTCATAAACACACTGACTTAAATTCTGATATGAGTTCCCTGGCAGATAGAACCTTTCTGGGTCTGCATGTCCCTGATTTGCCTTAGAGAACAAAGGCCTGGTTCCTTCCTCACTTGCAGGGTATTTTAAGAACAGGTGAGATCATCCCTACTTGGACTTTGATCATTAAGGAAGGGTAGCAAGTTAAAGACTGCATACTAGCAGTAAGTGTGGTTTATTGAAAAAAAAATAAAAAGGGCAAGGACGTAAAAGCAAAACAGAAAGCAGTTTGGGAGGACAAATACAGGATGTGCTGAGCATGTTAGATCAAGATATTCCTACAGTCCCCTCAGCTCCCAGGCCCTCCCAAGATTCCAGTGATAGAAAGCCACCAAAGTGAAGTGTCCATGGTGGGCAAATTTCCCTACCAATTTTTCTTAGGGCCTGAGATGTGGGTTTCAACAGAAAACGCATTCAAATCATTGATGGAGATTTTAAAATTTCTGAGCCAGGCTACTCCCTAGACCAATTACATCAGTGTCTCTTTGGGTGGGGCCTAGAAACAGTATGTTCACCCCTCCCTGGGTGACTTCAGTGCACAGCCCTGGTGGAGAGCCTCTGAAACATGAGCAGAGGTGAGCCCAGTAGTAGAGCTTTTGCCACCACTAAAATAGGTGGCTTTCTAGTGAAGATTCATATCCAGAACTTCTGATGGCCTTGGGGCATCATGGGCATGAGTGTTGTTTATAGTCAGTGCTCAGTTAACAAATGCTGACCGACTAGTAAGCCCTATCCACAGAACTCCAGAACAATCAGGGCATGGCGTTTTGGTCTAGTCAAATAATCGTCAGTTCAGTGTGGGGGAAATAAAATGGAGTCCTCTTGATTGTCTGATAGAAATGACTAGTTGTTTCCTTTCCTTAGAGGCCCAAAAGCTCAAATAGAAGTACAGAATGCAAGTTAAATCATGGGACACATGGTATGTCATCTGACTTCTAGAACAGACAGGATCAAATCTTGTGGTGTTCCCTTTATGGTCACAAAATGCTCTGGCTGCATGGTCACCTTGGCTAGCTCATTTAAGCATGAGCTCATAGGGTTTTTAATATTCACTTCATCACATTAAGCTACTGTGCTTCCCTTTCACTCTATCTCTAGGTTTTGGTCTACAGTCAATCGCCCAAATCACAAATCCACCTGCCTTGCTCTCTCAATGGGTCTTTGCTTTCTGGATAGCATCTCCACAGGTGTCAAGGTCAAAGGATGGCCATCTCAGGATGTGAGCGTGACCATGAATCTGCCCTGTGATGTCTCTCAGGCTGTTTTCTGGCTAGCCAAGGCATAGTCTGTTGATTTGAACAAAGGTCAAAAGCTTTTCATTGTTTGTTCCCTTTGAGTTGCCAGGTGTTGGGTCCAGGCTAGTGGCAGAAGAGTTCAACTTTGGGTGTTAAAGTGTGATTTACCATCTGTGTAGGTCTGGACACATTGACCTGTCTAGGCCACAAGTTTTTTGTTTTGTTTTGCTTTTTTTTTTTTTAACAAGTGCAATGCTAATATCAACAATATACATCTCATAGGGTTGGTTTGAGTACTGAACAAGTGATGGATGAATATGAATGTGGGGTATAAGAAGGGCTTCCTCTGCAGGCCACATGAAGTCCAACTAGTAAAAGCGAAGCCTTAGGATTTCTCTCCCTCGATAGGTAGAGGAAGTCAGAGCTTAGTCCCACCTGCTTCTGTCTTAT